AGAAAGAAAGAAAGAAAGAAAGAAAGAAAGAAAGAAAGAAAGAAAGAAAGAAAGAAAGAAAGAAAGAAAGAAGAGAAAGAAAAAGAAAATTCCCATTGAGAGTGGAAGTTTGAGGAGAAAGGGCTTCTTGGGGTCAGAGCCCAGGGTTAATTCTGTGTCATGAAGGAGGCGGGGTGTGCTTGTGTAAATTTTACCTCTCTTCCCTCATCCTTGTACCCCTCTCAGGAATTCAAAGTGAGGCTCAATGAAGTGACCTAAGGCTCCTCCCAGCTCCGTGAGTCCCTATTTTTCTGTGATTTAAAATGATCTAATCGAGCCCACTGTGGGAAAACAAAGTTTGAACACGCTCCATTCTGGGACAACCACTTTATCCTCTCTTCTACCTTCTATTCCTTCTGGAACAAACGTAAAGGAAGCAAAACTGAAGCCACAAATGAAGAATTCATAGCCCATGAGCTCTTCAACCCAGCGGTACAGGTGAAATGAAAGAGAGAACAAAATATCCCGCTGACCCGCCCCGTCCTCAGTCCAGGTCAGTCCTCCGGGTTTTCTATGAACGGAGATTCTCCACTGCCTCCCTGTCGGGAATCCTCCTGAGCTCCTGGGCAGCTTCAGCGAAGTCGCGCGCGGCCCCAGGGGCACCTTTCCCCGGCCTCCAGCAAGAAAGCGTTCCCGCAGTTCTCCCCGGAAGCCCGGGTGCATGCCCACCGCCCCCGTCTCTTTGAAATACGGGAGGAACCTCCGAGGGTCCCTCCGCACTCTGAAGAGGGCAGCCGGTGGGCTCCTGCTCTGGGCTGGATCTCAAGCTTCTGTCCCCAGCCCCGCCGAGTTGGGGAGCGCGTCCTGAAGGCAGGGACGCAACCAAGAGAGGGGAAAGAATCTCTTTTCTCCAAAACCATCTTCTCTAGGTCAGGAGTGGAAGTCCCTTTGTGTCCCTCACCGGGCGGCTTTTCCTTCCTCCAGCCCGGGACCAAGCCCAGCCAGGCAACCCCGCGAAGGACCAGTGAAAGAGCGCGGTTTGCCTGCACCCTGGTACCTGGGCCGCGGGCCTGTCTCCTTTCTCTCGCACTCACCAACTGTGACTAAGGTGAGGATTTTGGCGGTCTCTGAGAACTGGACTGCAGGGAGAAGAAAGCCCAGGAAAAGCAGCGTGCGTTGCCCAGCCATGCGTACTCCTGCTCCGGGACGCGCCTTGCGCCCTGCTCAGGGCTAAGGAATCCTGTGCGCCTCTGTGTGCCAAAGGCGCAGGCTGTGCGCTAGGAAAAGGCAGGGGAGGAGATTTTGCCTGTCTTCTGCTTTGACTGTCTCCTCTCGCCCTTCTGCTCCTCCTCGCCTAGTGCGTGCTCTATAAATTATTCTGTCCTTACCCTCCTGAACCACTGGCACTGACGGGAGGCGTGATGAGCTGATCCTTAACCCTGTTCTACTTATGAAACCACGGCCCTCCGGACATGGAAAAAATATAAACCAGGAGGGACTTTGATAAATCTTGTTGGTGACAGTTCTGCCCCCAAGCGACCCACTTCTCTGTTTATGGACGCTATTCCAAACATAAGGTGCCGTGACTCCCTTCCACCTAAATCTATTACCTGCTCCGTTCCACCTGAATTTATTACCTGCTACTGCCATCCCTATGCCCCGTTTCCCCCCAGGGACCTGTTTAAAATTTCTAGCTGGTGTCCCAAGCTGGACCTTTCTTAAAGTGAGTGCTCAAAGCAAATCTATGTATCTCACTGGACAATGAATTCGTGGAAAATGGACTTAAAGTATGAACTGACTTTGGTGCAATAAATTTTGAAATGCCTGCATGGTTTTTTTCATACTACACATTTCCATTAACTCTTTGGACACCTCTTTATTTGTGAAGGCCTCTTTATAAGATAACATTCATGAAAAGGTGCTAGTGTCCTAACTCTGGAAGTCCAGGTCTTTACCTGAAGGATGAAATTTCTAAAGCTGAGACATAATTCTAAATGAGTATCATAAAATAGGATTAGGGACGTTTATATCATGCCCCTAAGCACAAGAAGACAACTTGTAATTCTGCCTCCTTGTAAGGTCAGCCCTGGGGAGAAGAGGGATCCTATGCCCAGAAGTCACCCTTGAAATCCCTATATTCAACCCAAGAGTGGCTTTAGGAAAGGCTTTCAGTGCAACTCTAAAACAGACAGAAAAGTCCTTCTGTGCATTTCATGTTTAGAGGATAAAGTGAGCTCTTCGATTCTGATTGTACTATTACGCTTTTCTGTCTACAGGTATTTTTTCATTTGAATTTAAAGCATTGCACTGTTAATAGTTATGCATCCTTCAGCCATGGGCATTGTGAGGAGGGAAGGAGAGATAGTAGCAAGCGAGGTTTACCATTATCACTGGGTTCTAGCCCAACTCTTAACCCTGTACCATGTTTAGTGTATTAACAGAATAAAGGCTGTGTTATCAAACTCCAAACTTATTTATTCAACACTTATATTGATAGCTAATTTTATACTAGGCATTGTTCTGTTGGGCAGGCGGATGCTAAACCTGCTCATAAATGAAATATACAATATGTTAATACCAAATACTACTAAGAAAAAGCAAATAGAAAAAGAAAGGGGCAGGTATTAGAAGTGTTAACATTTCAGATAGCATGATTCAAGGAACTCCAGAAGAGTTTAGGGGTACCATAGAGATGGGTACAGAATATTTGATGGTATTAAGTAGTTACGTTGCTTTGCAGAAGTGTTATAATGTCATCATGGTTACATAAAAAGCAATGCCTTATTTATTAAGGTACCTTCTGAAACATTTACATATAAATGATTAAGATAGCTTGGATTTGCATAAAATATGTAATTTGGGGTGGATGGGGGAAGCAAGATTGAAAGTGGGGAGGATATAAAAGAAAAAAACTTTGCCAGGCATTGCTCTGTTGGGCAGGCAAATGCTAGTAGTCATTGAAGGGAAGTATCGGATATGAAGAAGTTGTATTTTAATGAATGTTCGAGAATTGTTACTGAAAGTTTTTATGAACCACACTGTATCCCGTAAGTATGTTCAGTTATTTTGTTGATTAAACCAATAATAGTGTTTGGTAACTCCCCCACTATAATTCTATTTTTCCTTGTTGATATCATTTTTGCTCTAAGCACTTTTAGGCCACATTATTAGATGCATATGCACTTATAATGATAGCTTCAATTACCATACCTTTCCAATGAAACACTTAATCTTCATTATGAGAATAAGAATTTTGTCGATCATGCGTTCACCTAAAGTCTGTTTTGTCTGATACTATCACTATTTGGGTTTTACTTTTAATTTATATTGCCTGACCTATTTTTCTATCATTTCATATTTTCCTGGATCTTCATATTTAAATGTATTTCTTGAATGGCAATCAGCTTAATATTTTTAAGTAAATCTGCCAAGTTTTGTATTTGAACTGGAGTAGATCGGTTTTAATCTACAATGTTTTTATTTCTCCCACTTAGTCTGTGTTTTTTTTTTTCTCTCCTTTTTGCCTTTGTTTGGAAACTTGAATATTTTCAGCCACTAAGCCTGCTTAGGTAGCTTGAATTGGGTGTTCTGTTCCACTGGACTCAGATTGGTAACAGGTGCGCGGTGAACCTTCTTCACATGTACTATTTTTCAAACCTCACTAGTACTACACAAACCTTGTAGCAGGGGATCAGCAGATTGCTCTGTTAAACTCTGGCATTTATTTTTCTATTCATCAGAAGGCATGGGTTATGTGGGTTTTATTTACTCTCTTTGTTGAGGTTTATTGTGTTTGGCACCTAAGTATATGCGGGTTGTGGAGGACAGGACAAAGAGCAAGTCCCTGTGACATGCTCCATTGCCTCCATCTTGTTGTACTTCCACGTTTTACAAACCTTAGTACCAGATAGTAGGGAAGAGGATCAGCAAGAAAGGGGTAGTCTAAATATGGGATCAATATGCATGAATGGAAACAGTACGCATGGATGCTCAGTAAATGCAGCACCTACTAGTAAATCTAAAATCCCCATTCTCCCACACACATGTGCAACATTGGAATGTGGACACATACCTCCCACTCATAAGCACAAAATCTGCACAGAGGATCTCAGAACCAGACTGACTAAAAAGAATCCATTGGAAAATACAATTTTTCTATTTTTTTAGAGAGAATTTTGCTATTAGGTGCATGTGCTAGAGAGACAGAGACAGACAGAAGGCAAAAAATCATCTCCCCCCCTCCCTGGAGGGACAGTCAAGCTGCAATCCCCTTCTTCTCCATTCTCCTCTCAGGATTTTGGGCACACGTGCACACACACCAGGCCTGAGTTTTAAGTTGCTTGGTCCGGGACTCAAATTGCGCTTGACTATGTGGGGTTCCAACATTGTAACCATTATACCATCTGCTGGTCCCAGCAAAGACAATTTCTATGAAGTCCTATGTAAATAGGGTCTTTCACACTTCTTGTACCACTTCAGACTTAGTGCCCACTGGTTTGTGACTATAGGACCTGAGGGACAGTGTGCAGCTTCTCTGTGAATCAATAGCTACAGTTTTATTCCTCTTCTCTTCTACACAGAATCAAGCACTGGGGCTTATGATTGAAATCACCTGCTCCCTCTCCCTCCCTAATGGGCCCCATCATGCCTAGAAGGCGAAGAGGTCAACTCCATGCAAGTGTTTCCTCAAACCCAGCCAAAGACTGTAACTGAGAAAGTTTTTATTTCCCATCATGTCCCAGATGGCTTGCTGCTTTGATATGCTATATGCTATGAAGATAGACCAAGACAAAATATCAGAGCACAGAAAATTCTGTTTCTACAGATTGAACATCTGGAAGATATTTTGGCCATCACCCTGTTCTTTAGATGTTCCAGGCTGGCTAACCCAATGCATAGACTTCCACAGTTTCTCTATATCCATGAGCAGACAGGTGACAGCATTCTGGGCAATAAGGACAGAAGTTGGCCAGTGGGGACGCAAGAGGGGGAGAGAATTATGTGAAAACATTACTTTCTAGGAAATTTGGAACTCACAGTCTCCATACCTAATCAGTGAAGAAGGTACTCTCCAGGTACACCAGAGGGAGGAACCGAATGTGGAGCTGCTCAAATGAGTGTTGGAATCGGAATGCACATGCATGGGCAGTCTTCCTGGATGCAGAAGAAACAAAGAGAAAACTAAAGAATTTGCAAAGTGTCTTGATTAAATATTATTCCATGAAAAGAGATGAAGGCAGAGTGACTGAGAGGCTGAAAAGATTCTGTACCTGGAAGCTGGAATGATCAGGCTCAGTGCTTCAGAAAAGGATATGAAGAGGTGAGTGGACTTCAAGACTGAAAATCTGAGGGTCAGGGGTCCAAATCATTCAGAGACAGGATAACAGCTCAGTCCTTGCTGTCTAGGAAATAAGGACAAAAGTATAGGGTAAAGAATCCCTGTAAAGGAAGACATTAATGAAGAGGAACTTGTTCAATATTAGGAAGTGGATATGATGTGGAGAACAGGGATTGTCAGAACTGCTGAGACGCTCCCTGGAAATGGTGACACCACCACCAAACACCCTCCTACCCAAGGCTGCACTTGGCATCATGTCTCCTTCAGCTCTTAACCCGTCTTTCTCTCTCTCACTTGCTCACTCCTAATGGGAAGACTGTGTATCAGCCTATCATCTCAGGTATATTTAAGAAATACATACAGTGATGTTTCTAATACTGTATTATGAATATGACTGTAATATTGTATGCCATAAAAATTTTATAATGATTCACTCATCAGTGTATAGGTTAGCTACTCTGAAGTGGTCATATTGATTACCCCTGTCCAAGACTGAATCCTTATACTTGTAAATAAACATAAATTTATTTCTCACTTTATCTTTCATTTTTGATATCTAGTGTTCATTTTATATATATATACAAAGATATATATGTGTGTGTATATATATATATGTATATATATTATCATACAAGACAATATTGATGTAGGTACTAGCAGGCAGACAATTCATCCTGTATATAGGACATGTACTTACAGTATTGATAAATACAGTATAGTACTATAAATGTACTTTATATAGTGCATTTTCCCTATGATTTCTTAATTACATTTTATTTTCTCTAGCTTACTTACTTCATTGTACTAATACAACATATAATTCATACAAAATATGAGTTAACAAAAAAAATCAAGTGATTGTAAGTGAATACATTTATTTGTACATTCTCTACCCTATTCTCTTGGTCTATGTTTTTCTTTGTTCCAATATTAAACTGTTCGGATTACTAAAGCTTTACAGTATATTGTGAGATTCTGCAGAGTGATGCCTCTAGTTTTGTACCTTTTGGGTGAGATCTTTGGCTATTTGTGATCTTTTGAAATGTCTCTTTACAAATGTTTTTGCTATTGCTTTGAGAAATGTCATTGGAAATTTGATAGTGGTTGCACTGAATCTGTAGATCACGTAGAGTAATAGAGACATTTTAACAATCAAAATTTTTCCAGTCCATCCCTAAAAGATATCTTTGCATTTATTTGTGTCTTCTTCAGCTTCGTTATTCAGTGTTTCATAAGTCGTTATTGTATAGATCATTCTCTTCCTTAGTTAAGTTCATTAGTCATTTTTCCTACTATAAATGAGGTTTTTTAAAAATTCATTTTTGAGATAATATGTTATTGGTGTATAGAAATATTGGGTTTTGTATTTTTATAAGAGATTAAAAATGTACACTTGTATAGGAGATTTAGTAAGAATGAAGCTTACAGAACTCGAGTTGTTCTGGGTAAGTGAGTAGTGAGTGAAGTGAAAGCTTAGGACATTATTATACACTACTATAGACTTTGTAAGCACTGTACCCTTTGGTTATACTAAATTTATAAAAAGCATTTTTCTTGGGAACCAGCAGTTAGCGTAATGGCTATGTCGCTGGATTCCCACGTAGTCGACCGCGGTTCGCGTACCGGACCCGGTGGCTTAAAACTCACGCCGGGCACGTGTGCGTGCGTGCCCATGATCCTGAGAGGAGAATGGAGGAGAAGGGATTGCGGCGTGACCATCCCCCCTGGGGGGTGATTTCTCGCTTGCTGTCTCTATGTCTCTCTCTGTCTGTCTGGCGAGCGCACGCGCCCTATAGCGGAAATCTCTCCAAAAAAAAAAAAAAAGCATTTTTCTTGGGAACCAGCAGTTAGCGTAATGGCTATGTCGCTGGATTCCCACGTAGTCGACCGCGGTTCGCGTACCGGACCCGGTGGCTTAAAACTCACGCCGGGCACGTGTGCGTGCGTGCCCATGATCCTGAGAGGAGAATGGAGGAGAAGGGATTGCGGCGTGACCATCCCCCCTGGGGGGTGATTTCTCGCTTGCTGTCTCTATGTCTCTCTCTGTCTGTCTGGCGAGCGCACGCGCCCTATAGCGGAAATCTCTCCAAAAAAAAAAAAAAAAAAAAAAGCATTTTTCTTCATTCAATAAGTTAACATTAACTAACTATAACATTTTTACTTTATGAGTGTTTTCTTTTTAAACTCTTTGATTCTTTTGCTTAAAGCAAAAGACTTAGTTTAAAGCAAACACATTGCACAGCCGTACAAAAATATTGTCTTTCTTTAAATATCTATTCTATAAGGATTTCCCTATTTTTTAATATAAAAAATTTTCAACTTTTTGCAATTTTTATTAAAATTAAAATACCAACATACTAGCCTAAGCCTACACAGAGTCAGGGTCATCACTATCACTGTCTTCTATCTCCATTTGTCCCACTGGAAGGGTCATGATGAACAAAACAACAGTAGATTATATCCAGCACAAGAGAAAATGAAGCAATCAAGAGACACAGTTAACACAAGACATATGAGGTTGTTTCTGACATAACAGGGCATGCTATTTTACAGTAAGCTCAGAATTACACTCTAAAATAATGACAAATAGTATGGTATAGTAAATACATAAACCAGTGAAATCATTTACTATCATTATCAAGTATTACATGCTGAACATAATTGTATGTGCTATATTTTTATATGGCCAGAAGTGCATAGGCTTGTTGGCACCAGCATCACCAGAAACATGAGTAATGTATTGCACTATGATGGCTACGACAGTGGGAGTTTTTCAGCTTCCTTGTAAACTTATGGGTGCACCATGATTTATATGGCCCACTATTGACCAAAATGTCATCATGTGATACATAACTGTATATGCAAACACATATCATTATTTCATAATTCCAGGGGTTTATAACCCCAAGAACCTAATTATGCTTCTCAAGCTAAGAACTCCTAATTTAAAGGACTAGTATTGCGTCAATCACTATTTATCCAGTGGTTACAGATGACCCTTGAACAACACAGGTTTGAACTGCATGAGTCCACTTCTATGTCGATTTTCTTCAATAAATATAGTACAGTATTGAAAACATATTTTCTGAACATTTTCTTTTCTTTAGCTTACTTTATTATAATATAACAGTATATAATACATATAACTTACAAAATATGTGATAATCAACAATTTTTGTTATAGGTAAGGCTGTCAGTCAACAGTTGATTATTAGTAGTTACGTTTCCAGGAAGTCAAAAGTTGTGTGTGAATTTTTGATTGGGCAGAGGGTTCATCCCCCTAACTCCTGCATTACTCAGAAGTTAGTTGTATTTGTTGTGTGCCCATTATGCACAGAACAGTGAAGTAGAAAGATATGACCTGACCACCATGCCTTTTACATTCTAGTTGGAGAAAAGAGTCAGTAAGTAGGAAAATTAATAAACAGTACAACTAGAAATAATTAAAAATGTTAGGAAGTAAATGATATAGAATAATTTAGATTGATCAGAGAAGGATTCTTCAAAGAGGTCACATTGGAACTGAAAAAAAAAAAAAAAAGAATGTTTGGAAATAGCTGAAGGTAATGGACTCCAGGAAATAATGATGTATTTGAAGAATTAAAGAAATCCTCCTGCACCTGTTTAGAATTGTACATCGAACACCTCAAAAGAAACAAAAACTCTAAAAGAGAAAAGTGCATTCCATTTTTTTTAGAGAGATATTTTGCTAATAGGGCACATGCACTGCCAGAGAGACAGAGAGACATCCCCAGAGTAGATGGCCATTCTGCAATCCTTTCTCCTCCATTCTCCTCTTGGGATTTTAGGCACACACACATACACGTCTGGCGTGAGTTTCAAGCTGCCGGATCTGGGACTTGAACTGTGGTTGGTCACATGAGAGTCTAGAACATTAACTACTATGACACCAGCTGTCCCCAGTACATTTCTTATGTGCTTTATTTCTATTATTATTACACTGCAATACATAATGAAATAATTATAAAACTCACCATAATGCAGAATCAGTGGGAGCCCTGAGCATGTTTTCTTGCAACTAGATGTTCCCATTGGGGCCTTCTGTGGGAATCTAATGCCGCTGCTGATCTGACAGGAGGTGTGCTCAGGTGGTGATGCAAGTGATGAAGAGCAGCTGTACAAGCAGAAGCAGCTTCACTTGCTCATCCCACCACTCATCTGCTGTGTAACCCTATTTCTTACAGGCCACAGAACACTACCAGTCTGTGGTCTGAGGGCCGGTGACCCCTGATATAGAGCTTGTTCTCTCATAAAAGAGTACTAATTAAAAATCAATAACATACTTAGAAAATTCTCAAATATTTAGAAATTAAGAAACTCTTTCTCTTTTTTGAAGAGAGATTTTTGCTATAGGATGTGTGTGTTCATCAAAGAGACAAAGAGAGAGAAAATGAGAAATTACCCCTCAGAGAGGATGGGCACCCTTTTCCTCCATCCTCCTCTCTGGATTTTAGGCATGCACGCACAGATGCTGGCATGAGTTTTAAACTGCCGGGTCTGGGACTTGAACGGTGGTTCACTATGCGGGAGTCCAGCAATGTAACCATTATGCCATCTACTGGTCCCAAGAAAAACTTATATTATAAAAAGTCTCAGCACAACTCAAATACATACAAGGTAATTTCTTCAATGTAAAGAGTATATATATTTTAAAATCTTGATCTATAATCATACTTAAAGATAAAATGTTAACTTTCTTCTGAATATTAGAGCCAGAAATATTTGCTCTTTGATTCAGCATCATAATGGAAACCCTAATCAGAGTGAAGGAAATACTGTGACTACTAACTGGTTAAACAGAGTTTAAACAACCTTTAGGAAGTAATGCTTGCAAGACATCTGCCTTACACAATGTAAGACCGCTGTTTGCCTGTTCCAGCTGATAACAGCTGACAAACTGCTTTACTGTAGGGAATTGCCATAGATAATAAACTCCTTCCCCTTCTGTACTTTGTACTGCTTGATTTTTTTTTTTTTGAGCTTTCTATGCATTACACTTAGAACAAGAAGATAAGATGAAGAACATGACAAACTCTGTTAACTGTTCAGTGTGATATTTAACGAACCCTTCTGTTTATTCTACTCAATAAATACTGAACTAAAACTGAGATTGTGAGTGAAGGACAAGAGAAATCTTGCCTTCTAAGCTCCCCTCTCACCTTATATCATGATGTATAAGTAGTTTTTCTTGTCATTTCCTTTTCAGACTGGACCTAAGGAGTAGATGGCCAACAATTGGTGCCCAGTGTGAGGCTCTTTCTCAATGGACTCAACAATTTCCAATGACAGAATCAAAGTGTTTTGAGAATTTTTCATCTGGGCATTAAGAAAATAATTTCAGGTAAGAGACAGCAACATCTGAAATAGAGAGCTGCCAACACATTCAGTGTTTTTAGAGAGGAAGTTTAATATGGGACAAAATTTATCAAAAGAACAAGTATATGTTAAGCCATTACAACTTTTTAAAGTGGCACATTGTATAGTTAAGAAAAATCAATGTACCGTTTTGCTATAATATGTTCCAGAATTTTGTCCATGGTTTCCTTGTACAGACACTTCAGATTTGGAAACTTGGGAAAGAATTGGCAGCATCTTGAAAAGCAAAATGGAACGGGAGAATCTATCCTTTTTCTGTTATTTTAACATTGCGCTTAGTCTGCAGAAGCTTACATTCATTGCATACACTAGCTCCTCAAGCACCTCCTGATGCCTCTCCTTAGTCATCAGGTTCAACAAATTCACCCCAGCTGACTCCCACAAATATTAAATCAGAAACAGAAATAGTCAACATTGGGCAAATCAATGTCACTATAAATTTGATAAATTTGGCAATTCCCTGCAGAGAAATGGGAAAAGGGGTGCCAGCTCCCACACTCCAAAGAATCACCCTCCACAACCTTACAACATGGAGGTATTTTACACTCAGCCAGCCACACAGTATCCAATCTCTGAGCCACCACCAGTGGCCCTGCCCGGACTGGACCTCTCCAACACCACTGAATTAACCTTAAACGAATTAGGGAATACTTACTTGAGACAGGCTCTTCCTCAACAAACTCAACAATTTCCAGTGACAGAATTGATGTGTTATGAGAATCTGGTCCATTACCATTTGGGTATGTAGAATTTTCAATAGGTAGATCAAAAACCACCCTAAAAGGACTTCATAGTCTTCCCAGTATTATATTATAGATTCAGATTACACTGAGGAAATAAAAGTTACAGTTGAGGTTACTGGATTACACATAATTCCACTGGGAACCCGCATTGCTTAGTTAATACTTTTACCATACATGATCTCCCAAGCCTCAAACTTGCCGCAAGATAATAATGGTTTTGGTAGCACAGGAGCTACTGATGAATTTTGGCAAATAATTATAAAAGAGGACAAACCCTTACTAGGAGCCTCCTTCCAAAATAAACAGTTTTTTGGCCTTTTAGGTACAGGATCAGATGTTACAGTTGTTTCAGTGTCAGAATGGCCATCTGAATGGAAAATTATTTCTTTATATCATATAGTTATAGGGATAGGAGGAACCCAAATACCTTCACAAGGCATCAATATGCTTCGAAGCCTAGGGCCTGAGGACAAACTGCTTATATTCATTCTTATATCAAATGTATTTCTCTCTACCTTCCGAAGATCTTTTACAACAACTGCATATGCTTAATGTTAAATTATTTCATATTGTTAGTAATCTACCTCTCCCTAGTGCCATAACACTGTTCTTTGATGGCTCAGTAGTCAACTACTGGCTGCTATCACTTGGAAAACAGATAAATGTCATTCTGTTACTCAAGGTGGTTTTACTGTTATGCAACAGGCCTGATTAGGTATCTGTCTTTGCCTTAAGGCAATTCCCCAGTCAGCTCTTAAATCTCATTGCAGACTCACAGTATGTTGGTTTTACCATTCAATACATTAAACATGTCACTATAAAAGATATTAATAATAAAGTTTTATAACAATTATACTTTACAATCCCTATTGATGTCTCAAATTCACCCTTATTTATAACAAATTCATTCTCATTCCAGTCTTCTGGCTCTCTCACAGACGGCGATAGTAAAGCTGATTTATTAGTTAAGTTTAATCAAACTCTTTCTTTCCAACATGACTGAACTTCTCACAATTTCTTTCATCAAAATTATCATGCGTGACAAACACAATTTCACCTCTCCAAGTTAAATCTGTCATCTCTTCTTGCCCATGCTGTCAACTTCAAATGATGATTATATGACCCACAGGAGTTAATCCCAGAAGTCTCCACCCTAATTCTATTTGGTAAATGGATATTATTCATGTTCCTTATTTTGGTAGACTAAATTTTCTTCATGTTTCAATTCATACATTTTCCGGTTTCACTGTTGCTACACCCCTCTCAGATGAAACTTCGGCTCATATCATTACACATTTTTTCTTTTTGACATTCAGATTATTTTTTTACTCATTGAATCCCTCAAAGTGTGGTACATTACACATTCTCTTACAGCATTAGCCATTATTGGGAAATCATATCAGATCAAAACTGACAGTGGACCCGGATTTATTTCCAGACATCTCTCTACTTTCATGGAACAATGGAAAATTCAACATATCACTAGCATTCCTTATAATCCTATCAGACAAGCCATTATTGGATGAGCTCATCATACTTTAAAACAACTTATTTGTAAACAGAAAAGAGGAATACACCCCTATATAACCCAAGAGGTATTATTCACAGAGCTTTATATATGCTTAATTTTTAAAATTTGGATATTGAGAATAGGACTATTCTGGCAAATATTCCTCATTTACACACAAATCAAACGTTTTTTTATAAATGCCCTGGGGGAAATGACTGAGAAGGACCCAAAAACCAGTTACTTGGGGGCAAGGATATGGTTGTGTTTTATCTCCAACAAGACCTATTTAGATCCCTGCAAATCTTGTCAACCCATATCACAAGTTAGAAAGACCACTCACTCTTTCATCCGATTCCCCAGATGAATCAACTGACCCTAGTGGGCAAAAAACCACCTCCTGATAATCACCCCACTGCCTCTGCTGATCTACTTGAAAAGTCAGACCCATAACCTGGGGAAGTTTTAAAAAGTTGGATGAAGAAGCTACCAAAATGCTCAATGACATGGAGCTCCTCTACACTAGATAACAAATTTCTTGCTTATCTTGCCATCATTTCTTGTAATTCTGCCCAGGTATTTTTGTTTCCTCTCCTCCATTGCTTTTTTGGAAATACATCTACAATGTCAGTTTACTGAGCACACATTACGGAGCCACCTGTTTTCACTCCTATGACATGGCAGAATCCAGAGACTCCCATTTCGTCTAATGATTCCTTTTGGAAAGGAGGCATCTGGGTTTCCCCACTGATTTCTGGGACACTTTCAGTTAGTAAATAGAGCCACTTTCTTGTGTTTCTCCAAAATCCTGCAGCCAGACTGTCTCTAAGCTGTCTTTCAAGAGTATACTTCCAACCAACAAATGCCCAATGCCCTGCCAATATTACCTTTATAGAAGCTATATTATTTCATCTTAATGCTTCTACAAATTCCTCCCATACTTCCCCTTTTCTTCATTGTTCCAAAAACAAAAGGAGCTTGGACACCCAAAAATCTCTCTCCTGACTAGAGTGCTTGCAAAATTTCTTCCCCTCATGTAAAACATTTAGACAACTACATTCATTTGAAAGATTGGAGACCTAGTGGATATTCAGAATCTAATCACCACTTTATTAAATTTTCAGAAGAGAGCAATTCTTCTATTACTTGGAGTCAAGGTAGGCTTTCAGATCCCATTCTCCATGTTAAAACAAACTCAACTGGAGGAATGGTTACCAATCTCTGGTGACTTGCCTAGCCCTTTTCTCCACACAGTCTTTCCCATGGATCTTGTGCTTATAATCATACTTACTCTTTAAATTTCACTCATAACCATATGGATTGTGTTAATATTTGAGTCACTCAGCCTTATTTATTTTTACTTAGTTCTGACTTCTTTGATATTTTATATTTTAATCATACAGCTATTATTATCAGATCTCAAAATTCCTTTTATGCAGAATGCTTTACTTATAATAATGTCTTCCCAAATAAGATCACTTCTCTTCTGATCCTCTACAGACAAGCCCAAGCTTGGTTGCCAGTTAATCTTCAATCCAACAATGTAAATTGGCTCAACCCATCAACTTGGTTTCATGCTATCTGTACAAAATTATGGTTCTTCTTTGAGTATGGCTCGTTCACTTTCTTTGTTGTTCTTATAGGCTTCTGATTAGTTTACACCACCCTACAGTAGATTCAGTCCTCTGATCAACAACTGATTGCCTGCCCTCATCATCAGGTTCCCCTTCAATCAAATAAACAAGGGGAAAATGAAGAAAATACCATGACTATTGCTAACTGATTAGAGTTTAAACAACCTTTAGGAAGTAATGCTTGTAGACGTGCTACCTTGCACTGCTGAAGACCGCTATGTGTCTGTTCCAGCTGAAAACAGCTGATAGATTGCTTTGCTGTAGGGAATGGCTATAGATAAAATTCCTTCTCCTCCTATACTTTGTACTGTTTGATTTGCTTTTTGAGCTTGCTCTACATTATACAGAGAACAAGAGGATAAGAACAAGAACATGACAAACTCTGCTAAGTATTCAGTGTGATGTTTAATTAACCTTACTGTTTATTCTACTCAGTAAATACTGACCTAAAAATGAGATCAAGAGAGAAGGAGAATAAGAGAAATCTTGCCTCCTAAGCTCCCCCTCTCTCCTCATATCGTGGTGTATGAATAGCCCTTTCTTATCATTTCCTCCTTAGGCTAAACCTAAAGAGCAAGTTGCCAACATGAGACTAATAGCAAAGAAAAATAAAAAAAGGCTAATGCCTCTGCACCAGTGCCTGTGCTGGCCACTGTCATGGCTACTACCTCATGTTCCATCTCCCCAGTTCAGCCTCTGGTTACATTAGGGCCAGAGAGGTTGGGGTATGCCAAAGGAAACACGGCCACTGCCTGAGAGAAGGACTGACTGCCACCAACTATGCAGCTCAACAATACTTGAGTTGCAGCCACTGCCTAGAAATAGCCCCTAAGGTAGAGGAATCAGGAGGGACTAAGGAGAGGCAGCAGGGAGTCAGCAGAAACTCATTTCACGTGATTTCCACTTGCAAAAGTAGAGAGGATCCAATCACCAGAGGCCAGCATGGCTCTGAAGGACTTCACCTGCAACCACTCTTCTGGATTAGAAAAGTGAGAGAAACTCTCCTCTGGAATTTCAAATCCCAGACTCTCACCATGATTCCAGGACTCCCACTCACAAGGAACAAGGAAACTGATACTGAGATAACACATATTGTAGAGAAGCATAGGAACATATGGCTTTAAAAAACTAACCAAACAAATGAAAGAAAAACATCAGACCTTCCACCCTACCCCACCCCAAGCTAGCAAGAGAGATACACCATCCTACAAGCCAACCAGCACATAGAGATCTGTTTACAGTTAAGACTGCACAGTGCAGAAGGAGCAAATGATGCAAAAGAGGACATCCCCATGCTAACAGAGACTAAGTAATTTGGACACTAGACCCTGTCTGGCAGGTGGGGCAAACTAATACTCTCTCTCCTACAAGACTTAAGTCCAGGGGAATGGTTTATGCTCCAAATGGTGCCACCCACCATACAGTTCTTCTGGACCTCCCTGAACTGCCTCAAGTACAGGCTATACAAGCCCTACTGTTATCTGAAAGATGTAACTGACCTCCAGCTCCACTTGAACTACTTTGCCCAATAGCCTGGGCCTTAGCCTGTTCTCCCCATCACTGCATTACAGAATATACTCCAAAAATTAGGAGTAAGTTTATTTATTTTATTTATTCCTACTTTAATGATTAATTCCTTCCTTCATTTTTTATTTTTAGATTTCAAGAAACATCTAAGAGGGCCAGCAGTTGGCGTAATGGCTATGCCACTGAATTCCCATGTAGTCGACTGCGGTTCAAGTCCCAGGCCCAGTGGCTTAAACTCATGCCAGGCACATGTGCTTGCATGCCCAAGATCTGGAAGAGAATGGAGAAGAGATTGTAGCGCAGCCATCCCCCCTGAGGGGTGATTTCTCGCTTTCTGTCTCTCGGTCTCTCTGTCTCTCTGTCTCTCTCT